AAAGAGTGTAAGTCATTTGAGGACTGATCAGGTTTCTGGTTTCACAGAAATAAGATTGCAGTGTTTGCTTTCCTGCCGGGAGCGTTTGCAAATGTTTTCTCTCTGAGGCCAGGCCGGGACGTGCAGGGTTATGAGGCAATGGAGTTAACCATGTTCTCTCAAACTTCAAAGGGATTTTAGCCCAAATCTGAAGGAAGTTTTGAGCCCTTTTTTTTATCCCAAGTGCTCTCCTCAGATCAGCCCTGCGGCACCCGCTGGTATTTGGAACCAGGGCGCAGCTCACCTGGTCCTTCTGGTGGTTTCTCTGTGTGATCTGACTCTGGGATGAAGGGACATCCAGGATTCCCAGCAGTGAGAAGGAGGCTCCTCAGCATACTGGTTATGTTAAAGTAAAAACAAATTGTGGGCCTTCCTCTCTCCCCAGGACAACGTCTACATTGTCAGCACACAAACAGCTCCACCGTGATCCTTCTCCTGTAGTAACCTGCCTTTTCCTTCTCTCCTCAAGTTCATCCATCCCAGGAGCCTGGCTGGCTGGAAGGGACCCTCAATGGAAAGACAGGATTAATCCCTGAGAACTACGTGGAGTTCCTATAACTCTGGGCATCAGGAGCCACTGCTGAGCCTTCCATGGTATCCATGGCAGCTGCTGGGGGCCCTGCAGACCCTTCTGCTCTTTGCCACCGTGCAGGGTGAGACCTTCCCGACCCTGCTGAGATGAATGTTCCTGTGGATTAAACAGTGTCCATGTCCTGCAGCGTGGGCTGGGGCTGGAGGGAGGGGTCCTGGGGAGAGGACCTGCCCCCCCCAGCCCCAGGCAGGGGCAGGCAGTGCCCACAGCCTCCTCCCAGCAATCCCAACAAACCAGTCCCCCACGGCCCCAGCGTTCCACGGGGGATGAACCTGCAAACCAGCACCAGAGCCACCCAGCCCAATGCTCCCACTACGAGACTGCTCACCAGCTGCAGAGAGCACCAGTGGGGGCTGAGGGACCCCCACCCTTGGGGCTGTGCCCCCTGCAGCTGTGGGAGCCCCCCGGGCTCTCGCAGGCGAGAGCGAACGCAGCCTGGGCTCTGCGGGGGGCACAGACCCACTGGGGCTGGGGGCTCCACAGGCTGGAGGGGGAATGCTATGGACCAAGCATCTCAAGTATTTTGTTGTTGTTCTTTTGGTTTTGTTTTTTGGGTTTTTTTTACAAGATTTAAGATTTTTGCAAGGTAAAGCATCTGTGATCTGTGCAGCCTGTGCTTCCTTCCTGGAGGGCAAGGAGCAGCTCCGGGTAGATACCACTCCTTTGGTTCCATGGGCTGTTTTGCACCTCCACTTCCCAATGCACATTGCACAGGGACACCCGTGCTTTTGGCAGTGCCCAGGCTGCTGATGTGCCATTTTGGAGCTGTGTTTGCCACTCTCCACCGTTGCTTTTTAGGTGGTCTCCTTGCTTGAAGCCTGGCGTGTAGTCTGTCCGTGCCAAGTCTGTGCAGTACTGGTTGTGCAAGGTAAATTATTTCCACACTCACAGGACATTGATTGTTGGTGTGGCCAACCTGCAGTCTCCACAAAACAAAGAGGAGTCCTCTGGCTCCACCACCCCTCTGTTCCTGCCCTGGAGAGGATGCCTGTGCCTCCCTGGACATGGGGCGAGTGGTTGGCAGAGCACGTTTGCAAGTGCACTCACCTCTTTGGGTAATTTTTTAAGGGAGAGGGTGAGAGAAGGATCCCTGTGGGACTGCAGAGCCAGGCTGGCCAGGTGGCATGTCAAGAGCTGGAATGATTATATTTTGTAATAGAAAATCATGAAAGAAACCTCAGCCTGTTGGCAGAGAGACTCTGTTGTGCAGAAGCGCCGCTGCCGGGCGATGGATGTCCTGTCTTTTTGTAATAATTTTAAAGACTCTGAGTGACGGAATTGCTGTATGTCACTTTTTATTTTTGAAAGAATTAATGTATAAATAGAGTATCTTAAAATATTATGAGGGAAAGATCTATATTTGATATTCTTAGAAGACTTGTAACGTGAGGAGCGAAAGACATTTGAAACTGGTTGCAGAAAAGCTCTTGCAAACACATTCTCATCCACAACCACCCTCTGGGCCTGGGGCTGCCTTCTCAGTCGCTTCCTCGTGTCACTTAGAAGTGAGGGAAACTCAGATTTCAGACCTTTTCACGTTGCTTTCGCAGTAATTAAACTTCCTGGACCTTTGTCTTGGGGGAAAAAAAAAAAGAGGAAAAAGTCGATCTTTTTTTTTCCTGCTTTGCAGGGCGGGTGGGACAGAGCTCATGTGTGAGGGACACACCAGCCCCTCTGGGGACACACAGCACTCAGAGGGTGCTGTTAGGGCAGGGGTGAAGCCTCCACACTCTCCTGGGTGTTCTGCTTTAAGGTGTTGGATTAAGAGGGCTGAGGGGTTTGTAGGGATAACAGCCAGTGTTCCATGGGCAAGTTGCTGGTTCACGTTCATCCTTGGATGTAACAGTGACCATTTGTGCTGTTGGTGGGTTTTCCTGATGCAGAGCCTCAGGTTGGGCTTCATCCAGCCCAGCAGTTGCTGTGGTGCTGCTGGTGCTGGGACCTCGAGGGGCTGCTTGGAGCTGGTCTGGCACTGCACAGCTTGGGACCCCATTCCAGGGCTGTGGGAAAGGGATGGGAAGGACTGACGGGAAAGAAGAAGGAAAAAAAAAAAGGCTTAATATTTGATCTGTTTGCACTATTTGCTTGGGTTTGGAAGTGTCCCATCCCAAGCTGCTCCTCCAGTAAGGTCCCTCCTGCCTGGTGGGACTTTGCTGGAGCTCGTGGCTTTCAGCTCAGATGGTGGGTCCCATTCACAGCCATCTGTCTCAAATGTGACTCAGCTTCTGAAGAGAAAGCATTCTGTGGAGAAACGAGAATTTCAAACACCTCAGAAACACCTTAAGAGGCATATTTAAGGGATATGAAACTTAGGGACCTCTTCAGGCACTGCTGTTGCCAGCCCCTGTCCCCACAGAACTTCTCTGTGCACTGTCCCCTTTGGCTCTTCAGATGTTCAAGTTGCTCTGAGACAGGAGTAAATTCCTTTTTCTAGGCACTTGGGAGCTTTTGGCTACACTACCTAGAGAGCAATTGGAAGCCAAAGTCCCACGCAAACATATTTACAAGATGTCTTCTGGAGGGAAGGAAAATAAAGGATAAGTAGAAGTTATTGCTCTTACAGGAGAGGTAGTGGAATTTTTTTTTAATTAAAACTTTCCAAAAAGAAAAATTTGGCTGAAACACTTACTAAATGTTCCCATTTTGGGCCAGCTTTAATACTGGAGTAAACATTGGCTTATTCCAAGAGAAATTAAAGATTGAAAATATTATTTTAAACTAGCTTGACATGGCATTTGATGCTTAATATTAAAGTCATCAGTCAAAATTACAAGAAGGCAGGAATACTCAGACTTGCCAGTAAGGAAAGTCTCGCCCATAATCCCTGTCCCCTCATTTTGGGCATTAGAGGGAAAAAAAAAAAAAGAAGACACTGAGACACTGTGCAATATTATCTGTTGCAATAGATGTCAGACGAGTCTTGGGGTGCAGTCCTGCCTTGTTTCAAGTCCATGGCACACATCCCAAGAGAGCTGGCTGCCTCCAGGCCACCATGCACCAGCCTTGGTCCTCACGTCCTCGCACAGACACGTGTGGCATTTCTGAAGTCCCCACAGGTCTGTGCTCGAGCTGCTGGTCCTTGTTTCTTTACCAGTTTTGCAGGGTTTCTCAGCAGGCAGTGCAGCACCTTGGAAGGTTTGGGAGCACCCGGGCCACTGCCAGCCCTCCTGTCACACCTCCTGGTGCCTTGCTGGGGGCTTGGGGTGGGGTTGGGCCAGCTTGCCTGTATTTTTCGAGCGGGCTGTTACTCAGTAAGAGCAACAATTTCAGTCTCTGGCCATGAATTTTTCAGATTCCTATCTGGTTCTGCAGTCAGACAGAACATCCTCCTGGTAATTGCCTTGTCTCAAGAAGATTTCTGTGTTGGGTGGCCTGAGTAGCAGCCCAGCCCATCCCAGCTCATCCCAGCTCATCCCAGCCCATCCCAGCCGTGCTCCGTGGCTCTGGCCAAGCCGGTGGCTGCTGGAACCG